CTCTAGAAAAGAATAGATTTTAAATAGCATATATGGGGCATGCAAATAAAATGAATATGGTCAGTAGACACCAATAGTGTCTCCTAAAATAGTAAATTATGTTTTATTTTAGAATGGCATTTAAATGTTGTATATCAGTATGTTTCACTATGACTTCAGTGTATATCTACTAGTATAGAAAGTAGAAAAATTGCCACAAATATAGCTTTTAGATTTTGTTTTTGAAAGAAAAAAGAATAGAATCCTGTCACTATGCTTTTCAAAACTGCCTTTTAAAGTATATGATTCTAATATTATATTAGCTTTTAATAATATATAATACAAACCTTATTTACTGATATTAACCAAAGGCAAATACGTAACCTATAGAAGTGTCAGTATTGTTCTTGCCATTAAATGAGATCTGTGAGTTTTCATTTGCTTACTTGACTTTTGAAAGAGCAGTCAATTGTACGGAGGTATTTCTTCTTCAGCATAATTAAAATATATAGCCCTTAAAAGCCTCTTAAATAATGAAGTTGGCACATTTTCCCTGGGTTAAGAAAAAAAAAGAAATCATACCTACACACGTACTCCAACTTAAAAGACCTAACTCATTTTTTATAGCTCTGGTAATCCTAAACCAGAATGCTTTACTGATAATTTTTCACAAAATTGCCTTTCTTTTGTATTCCCTTCACCTGATAGTACTGATTCTTAGCCTGGGTTTTCTGACTTCTTAGGTTGTTTTTAAATAACAACAACCTGAAAAGGATGTTAGGATGGTTAGTAATAATTTAAATTCATTTCAAAATCATATGTTAGGGATTTCTTAAGTATATGTATGCTCTTTGTTCAGCCCTTTCACTGTGGTCATGGCACATGAGGCTTAAAGATTGCAAAATCAAAGAAATAGTGATGATGCCTGGTAGTTTCTTGGGAATCTTGGCTCAACAAGCAGAAGTTCAAAGCTTTTTATAATGGGGAAGCTTGACAACTCTGAAGCAATGTGAAAGCTTAAATAAGAAATTTTTTTACCTCTAGATTTTGCACACCTTCTTTCTTTGCTTATGTTAAAAGAGAGGGGACGACATCTGAATTTATCCCTTTTGAATCAAGTTTAAGTTCCGGAACAAATAATCTGATTGATGGCCATTTATTTAAATATTTTGTTCTTTGCAAATACACTTTCTCTTTACCTCTAGTGAATTGGGAAATATATAGAGAGATTTTTATAATAGATGAATTAAATTTCAGTGCAAGTTTTTGTTGCTTTAGTCACTTAAATGCTGAATTAGAGTGTTCTGTGCTGTGTCCTTGAGTGTATGGCTTTGACACCTCCGCTCGCACTATTGAATGATTGTCAGGTTGCTGCCCGGAAGGATGTCCCATTCTTAGCTTTCTGGTTAGTCGATGCTCTGTCATCGACAAACCAAATTCTGTGTGTTTGGGGTGGCAGCTATAGACATTGCCTAATGTGAAACATTACATCCTTTGATTAAAGGCTATGGGAAACTTTTCTAAGTTACTATCGTAATGTGCAGTAAATGTTGAGTTGTTTAAGTATTAATGTACATTTCCTTGAGCTATAATACTGGACATAAATTTAGTGTTTGCCCCCATTGAATAAGCTATTGGCCAGAGATGTTAAGTAACTTGATCAAGGTCATGTATCATTTTAGGTAGCAAAAGGAAGACTTCAATTTTAGTCTTGTACTATAGAGGTACAAACATATCTCTCAATGTACAGCCAAAATATTATTTGCATTTCAAATAGAACCTTTACATGATTTTGAGATGCCTGAGACTTTTCTCATGGAGTGATTTGCATATGAGCAGTGATCACACGTGTCATTTTTGAACAGCTGTTGAAGAAGGCAGAACATGATTATGCCATTTGCTTAATATATTACATCTGGTTGCTGGGAAAATTTAAAACTTCCATGATGTTTGGAAGAGAAAATTTTTCCCTTTTTGGCATATTTCATTCAAAAACTCTATTTTAAACTCTGAATTTTGGCTACTCAGTGGTGGCTTAATTGTACTGCCTGTTGAGGTACACACTGAGAATGGAGGAAGGATTTTATGTAAAGTGCCCTTTGAAGGCTTTCATAGTCCTGATTACCATGTAATTTCATAATTTGGGAAAGAAAGCAGACATGTGGTGATTTTTTATGGTGGAATTATTTTATTTTAGCATTCAAACATCTCCATGACTTACTCATATGCGAAGTTGGGAGCCCTTTGCAATCATACAGAACCTTAAACAAATAAGGGCATAAGGCCACGGAAGATTTTTCTTCTTTTTATTTGTTCTAGATCGGGAAACATTCAAAATTCTTTACTAGTTCTCCTTCACTAGTATTTCCTGCATACTCAATTCATTTTTTTTTTTTTTTTGTAGTTTCACTGTGCTTTAATTATAAGCCATGTGGGGTGGTCATTTGAGCACCTTTATTTTACCCAAAACAGAGACCTCATCTTTGCCTGAAGCCTCATTGCCGTAGGAACTGAACAGAATATTTCCTTGGAGAACATCTGCATTGAGTAGTCTCTGAGCAACAGCTTCTAGTTTTGACAGTAACCCTTCACCTTTTGAAAAAACATCCCATGTGATTTGGATGCTTCTGAAGAAATGTGATTTGAAGGAGGCAGTAGTAAATCATACCCTGTTGAAAATTGTTTTCTTAGTTTAAAAAATGTATTATTCAGTCTTTCAAATTATAGTGCATTTATTACTTACCTTCACCTGTTACTTTGGCCTCCAGTGTTTAGCATAATGAGCCTCTCAAAGAGTAGCTGTCGAGAAATGAAGAGTGAATTTATTTGGCTCTGATTATTCAAGTGATTTCATAATAAGCAGGGGTACTATTGTATTTTTTGATGTGCAATACTTGGCAGTATCCTCCCCCTCCCCTGCAGAGAGCCCCTTGAATTAATGATACCTTGTAAGTTACGTCCATTTCTTCTATTTTCCAGGTGACTTCAGGTGGAACATTCATTGGCATTGGACGGAAAACACCAGATTGCCAAGGAAACACCAAGTATTTCCGCTGTAAATTCTGCAATTTTACATATATGGGCAACTCATCCACCGAATTAGAACAACATTTTCTTCAAACTCACCCAAACAAAATAAAAGCTTCTCTTCCCTCTTCTGAGGTTGCAAAACCTTCAGAGAAAAACTCTAACAAGTCCGTCTCTGCACTTCGATCCAGTGATTCTGGAGACTTGGGAAAATGGCAGGACAAGATAACAGTCAAAGCAGGAGATGACACTCCTGTGGGGTACTCAGTGCCCATCAAGCCCCTCGATTCCTCGAGACAAAATGGTACAGAGGCCACCAGTTACTACTGGTGTAAATTTTGTAGTTTCAGCTGTGAGTCATCTAGCTCACTTAAACTGCTAGAACATTATGGCAAACAGCATGGAGCAGTGCAGTCAGGCGGCCTTAATCCAGAGTTGAATGATAAGCTTTCCAGGGGCTCTGTCATTAATCAGAATGATCTAGCCAAAAGTTCAGAAGGAGAGACAATGACCAAGGCAGACAAGAGTTCGAGTGGGGCTAAAAAGAAGGACTTCTCCAGCAAGGGAGCCGAGGATAATATGGTAACGAGCTATAATTGTCAGTTCTGTGACTTCCGATATTCCAAAAGCCATGGCCCCGATGTAATTGTAGTGGGGCCACTTCTCCGTCATTATCAACAGCTCCATAACATTCACAAGTGTACTATTAAACACTGTCCATTCTGTCCCAGAGGACTTTGCAGCCCAGAAAAGCACCTTGGAGAAATTACTTATCCCTTTGCTTGTAGAAAAAGTAATTGTTCCCACTGTGCACTCTTGCTTCTGCACTTGTCTCCTGGGGCGGCCGGAAGCTCACGAGTCAAACACCAGTGCCACCAGTGTTCATTCACCACCCCTGATGTAGACGTCCTCCTCTTTCACTATGAGAGCGTGCATGAGTCCCAAGCGTCGGATGTCAAACAAGAAGCAAATCACCTGCAAGGACTGGATGGGCAGCAGGCTGTCAAGGAAAGCAAAGAACACTCATGTACCAAATGTGATTTTATTACCCAGGTGGAAGAAGAGATTTCCCGACACTACAGGTAAGTCATAGGAGGGTGGGAGGGATATAGAAACAAAATAATAGAAGAAATCCACAGGAAGAGGGCTGAACCAGGAATTATTGGGAGTGATTCTGATGACTTGGGGAAGTTATAAGACAAGACCACATAAAAGATCATCAGAGATTTGCAGGTGATATAGTTATAGCTGTGATCGCTGTAGGTTTTTATTTCGTTACTTCTTTAGGACCATGTGTTCGTGTTTCATACTTGTTTTATACCATTTACTGATTGTATTTTAAAATTCACAGTGATTCTAATAATGCTGATGAGTTTAATAATTTACCATAGTCCATTTATTTGTCCTTACTAAATGTGACTCCACATCCTATATTTTTTGACAGAGCAGCTCCCAAATTAGAGATACTATTATAAATATGTCCTATTCTCTATTCTGAGAAAATATTTTGAGAAAGCATTGCTCATTTTTATTTTAAAATGAGATTATATATTCTTCTAGCTTTGAACAATTCTGCAGCATCCTTGTTTGGCATACAAACAGTAATCTAAAGGTGAGAATTTTTGTAATATGTATGATTTTGGATGCACACTTGCCCCTCCAAGCAGGTAAAACTGCTTAAGTTATTCCAGATTCTTGAATGGATGTGGGACATGTTTGTGTTTTCCTTCTGCTTTCACCCTGTTCTCTTTATAAACATTAACTTTCTCAGTTAATATTTTATAATTTCTAGGGATAGGTATAGGATATGTATCTTTATTTCATTTATGTACTCATTCCTTAATTAATTAATTTCAAAAATCCTATTGTACGAGGCGTTGACTATGCAAGAGAGAAAACATAGTCAGTGCCCTCATGGAACTTACAGTTTAATAGGGAAGATGAGACACTTAGATGATTACAAGAATAGTAAGTGTTATAAAAGATGAAGTACAAGCCTTGCGCAGTGGCAACATCATAGCCGATGAGGTTTATCCCAGGCACGATTATTGCTAATTGAAAACTTTTCCCAATATCCCACCATGACGACTTGCGATATAGTCGGGATTGACAATTTTTGACAGTTTCTATAAGGAGTGAATATTTTTTTCAAAAAAGATGAAGTACCAGGCAGTGTGTTTGAATATAATGATAACATAACTGAATAGGGTGGATTAGGAAATGCCTTCTTGAGCAAGGAGCATTTAAACTGAGAGTTGGTTATAAATAGGAATTCATCAAAACGGTGGTGGTACCCTGCTTTCAGGTTTTATTTACTGCTCAGTAGGTACTTTCCCATTATTATGCCTCTGGGCATCAAAGTAGAAAGCTTTACTTACTATGTCAATATTCCAGTCTAAAAAGTCTATTCACTTCAATTTTTACATCCCAAGATATTAAACAGTTTCTTCCATTCCTTTTAAAAGTTGTGTGTTAGGGCGAGTGTGTATGTTGTTTCAGTCACCAGTAATGGAGCAGTTCATGTCCAACAATAGGCTAATAACGTGGAATGTTAATTTGAAGGGCATCCCAATGTTCACAGTGAATCAAAATGTTCAGAAAACACTTACTTGAGATTTACACTGTTTAATTTATAAGGTCAGCCCTGGGAAAGACACAGTCCTGCAATCAAATATGTGTTCACACTTGCAATGAGTGTTTCTGGCTCCTCTGATGTTAGCTGCATGTTAATTTATTTCTGAGGCTCGCAGACATCAGCTGCTTTCTGAGCTTTACTAGTGTGGATATGTGCGCATGCGCACATTGTGCATGTACATTTATTGAGTGATATAAAAATCAGATAGTCAATTCCTTTTACAGCTTTTTTTTAGAGAAATCATCATAATTTTCTTTAATCATGAGGAAACCAGCCAGAACATACACACATAATGGACCTGCACACCCACACACATGCACACACACACTTATTCTGATAACATCTAGCTACCAGAACATTTGGACAAGTTATTTTTCTATTGATGCAGCTGAGGCATTTCTTGAGAATCTGTCTGGGAAAACAGGGTTTTCACATGCTTTAGGTAAACAAACTAATTATCCAAGAGGTAAAACTATGAATAAGACTATTACTGAATAATGTCAGAATTTAGTTAACATTCAGTGATGAAAGTAAGCTCCAGAGAAAAGAGAAGTATTCTTTTCTTGTTCATCACTGTATCTGCACGATTTAACACAGTGGCAGGATGCCTAATGGGAGCTCAGTGAATATCTTTATGTAAATGAGATCCCTGTGAGTTTTTGGCTTCACTGTAGTTATGAATAAGCTGAGATTTCCAAGGTGAGTTACATTTTAATCCTCCACTATTATATGATCTTGGAACCCTTCTGAGGACCTAGGCTTCTATATCAAATGACAGTTGTCTGTTCATTTTGAATTTAAGTCAACTTCTCAGCATTTTATTAGCTAGTTAGATAGCACTTGTCCCTAGAGCATTAAAATATTCTTGCACTTATGTTTAAATCCTGATGTAGTTGTCTGACCAGAGATCCTTTAAGGTGCTGAGTAGTTTATCTCTGATCTGCTTATGAGTTATTACAGAGATATTTGAAATTTGGAGCCTTAGAATTTCAGAAGACACAGCTTAGTAAAAAAGATAAAGACACTCCACTGAAAGCTGAACAGTAATGGTAGCCCCAGAGATGTGAAAGGACATAGTCACATGGATGTTTAGAACTTGGTCTGCTATCAAAGCATTTTTCAAAAATGCCCCATTTTTAAGATAGAATAAGAGGACAAGTTTACCTTATCACATATTATCTTTATAATTAAATTTGTTTACTCAGATTGTTCATATTGGGAAACTGCTGCCAGAGTTCTGTGTTATTGTGAAATAGTCTGTGCTTTTGAGTGCTTTATATAGAAGACTTAAGAGTATAGTAAAACTTAACATAAGCCATGAAATGTATAATATGTGAAATCATTTAGCTATAAAATGACTATAGCTGAGAAGCAGAAGAGTTGATCTAGAGCTCTGAGTGAAAATCTCAGTATCAATTCCATTGCAAGGGTGTTTTCTTTTTAAGAACTAAGTTAAACGTGGTGCAACTGCAAACATGATCTAGTCAGCAGTGGATTTGGTCCATTCTCTTAATGTTTAGTATTTACTTATAATACCCCAAACTCATATTATGACTAAGTTATTATATTCCACTAATGAGTGGTTTGCTCACTGCATTTCTTTTATTATGTATCATTTAATTCAACTGTGTACCTGTTCTCTATTGACTGTTATTTTTCTTATCAAAATTTTCAGTGTTACAACATTTTTGGTAGAAGTAGGAGGATTACTTCCCTACAAAACAGCTATACTAGATAAAACATATTTTGCAATGCATTTCCAGACTTCTACAAATTAAGGAAAAGTTTTGGAGCCTTTGTTCTCTCTTTCATCAAAACTGCACTAAATGTAGACTAAGGAGAAGTGAAGAGTAAGCTTGAAATAGGAGATTATACTGAGGGAAAATGGCAGTGTCAGTACTGCATTTGATCAGAAGACTAAGCCTGGAGTTACCATGGAGAGAAGGGGTTGAATCTGAATTTTGCTTTAAACTTAGATCTTGAAGGTGGCTAGGGTTTTTATGTTAGTGCCTTCCTCTGACTTCTGATGTAATTAAACACAAATTTATATATAGAAAAGTACTCCAATTTTTACCTCCAGATATTGATGGATACAGATAAATTTTGTATGAGCTCACTATTATGAAAGTTCATCATATGAACAGGAAAATAAACCACCATAGGTGAAATCAGAAGAAAACACAAATAATAGATATAGATACCCAGTTACTTTAGATAGAGGAGTTTTCAGTTATAAAATACTAGTAAGTATTCAAATATATGAAAGTTACAATTAATGATTAAACAACATGAGACTATATGAACAGGCACTTCTCAAAAGAAGACATTTTTGTGGCCAACAAACATGAAAAAAAGTTCATCATCACTGGTCATTAGAGAAATCCAGATCAAAACCACAATGAGAGACTGTCTCAGGCCAGTTAGGATCAGGAAATAACAGATGCTGGCAAGGATGTGGAGAAATAGGAACACTTTTACACTGTTGGTGGGAAGGTAAATTAGTTCAACCACCATTGAAGACATGTGGCAATTCCTCAAGGATCTAAAACTAGAAATACCATTTGACCCAGCAATCACATTACTAGGTATATACCCAAAGGATTTAAATAATTCTGTAGTAAAGACGCATGCACACTTATGTTTATTGCAGTGCTATTCACAATAGCGAAGACTTGGAACCAACCCAAATACCCATCAATGATAGACTGGATAAAGAAAATGTGATAAATATACATCATGGAATACTATGCAGCCATAAAAAATGATGGGCTCATGTCCTTTTTAGGGACATGGATGAATCTGGAAACCATCATTCTCAGCAAACTGACACAGGAATGGAAAACCAAACATTGCATGTTCTCACTCATAAGTGGGAGTTGAAAAATGTGAACATATGGACACAAGGAGGTGAACATCACATATTAAGGCTTGTTGGGGAGTCAGGGGCAAGGGAAGTAAGAACATTAGGACAAATACCTAATGCATGTGGGGCTTAAAACCTAGATGAAAGCTTGCTAGGTGCAGCAATGGCACATGTATACTTATGTAACAAACCTGCACATTCTGCACATGCATCCCCCGAACTTAAAGTAAAATGAAAAACAAATTATCAAGATTCCCAAAAAATTAACAACTAACATTGTTTCAATTAAGAAATATAACTCTTGAAACTTAAAACATAGGGATTGATTAAACTACATATTAGACAATTAAAGAGAACAAATGAATTAATCGAATGAGACATTAGAATATTTAAGAGAGGTCAAGGAGATGCAAAATGTCAAGGGCATACAGTAAGTTATGGAATATAACGATCTGTTCTAACATAGATCTAATCAGAGTCTTAGAATCAAGAAAATATAGCGAGTAGGTAATCAGCATTTGAGAAGAAAATGGAAAAAAAGACTTTATAGAACTAATGAAAGACATAGATACTCAGATACAAAGAAGCATAGCATACACTAAGCAGGATGATGTATATACATAAATTCAGTTACACACACATTGTAGAAAAAGTGAAAATGCCAAGGCAGAGACATCCTTAAGAGCAGCTGGAGACTACCAAGAAATCAACTACTCACAAAGACGTTTAGGTTGACAGACTTTTTATTAGCAACAATGAAAACTGGAGGAAGGAGGAATACTATTATTCAGAGTTTTGAAAAAATATCAAATACTCAACCTTGTATTGTCTGCCCATCAAAGCTATCTCCCAAGAACAAGACCAAAGCAAAGACATTTTCTAATAAGTGAAGACTAGAGAAACATCTGAGCAAATCTAAACAAACATTGCCTGTCTTGTTTATGCAGTTAAAAAAGGAACAGACTAGATGGGGCACAGTGACTCACACCTGTAATCCCAGCAGTTTGGAGGCCAAGTCTTGAACCCAGGAGTTTGAGATCAGCCTGGGCCATGTACCAAGACCTCGTCTCTACCAAAAAAAAAAAAAAAAAAAAAAAAAAAAAAAAAAAAAAAAAGATGATCTGATTATAGTTGTGAATGCCTGTGGTCCCAGCTACCAGCTACTCAGGCAGCTGACATGAGAGAATCACTTAAGCCCAGGAGGTTGAGGCTACAGTGAACCATGATCATGCCTCTGGCCTAGGTGACAAAGAGTAAGGTATTGGACAGTGCTACAATGAAGTTTAAAGGGAAAATGACTAGAATGAAGGTATTCTAAGGCCCCTGAATTGTTGGGAGTTACTGGGCTAGGACTTTGTTATACATACTGGGAAAAGTTTAATCATAGCTAATAAAAGAATAGGAAATGAATGCATAACTTCCCAAAGTATAGAAGAGAAAAATGGAATAATGAAATGAAGAACACCTGTGAGATTTAATCAACTATAAAAAAATGGTGAGAAAATACGTGGGAAAAGTTAGACATAGAGATGTTTTAAAGTAAAATCTACAAAAAATTGCAGATATCCAAAGTCTTGTTTAACATGTATGTATTAAACTTTTCCACTGAAAAGATATCAGATGATATTGAAAAAGAAA